CTAATTACTCACTTCATTCACCTGCTGTTCTCTCCCCACACTCTAATTATCATTCATCTTATCCACCTTTTTGATCTGCTATATATGTGGTTAATTATCCTTAGTTTTTAATGTTAGTTATTAATGTTTGTTTGTTTTTGAGTTTTAGTTAAGTCCCTTGTTCTTGTCCTGACTCTTGGGGGCCTGTGTGTTGAGAGGGTGTTAGTGTTTGTCTCATGTCAAGTTTAAAGTTGTGCAGTTCTATTGGTACCATTTCTTGTCTCTGTTGCTCTCGACCACTGAGCTTGCTTGTCTCCATTTGAGCGTCTCCATTACTCTTTGGATTGAAGCTCCTGGTTGGGCTACAGACTCCTTGATTGCAGAACAGTCCTGTTCTGAATTGTTTCCTTGACCTGGAACAGTCTCCTGCCTGCTCACTGTGGTTGATGCATCGACGACACTCAGCTCAGTGCCGCATCTCATTGGCAGTCCATCGGCTGGATCCTGCCTCTCCAGAGACGATGGACTGAGCTGTTAAACCATGTAAGTGACTCACACAGATAATCATCTTCTTTTAGATTATCTTGGTCACTTACCTATGTTTCTCCCTCAACCAGAGTGCCAGTGTTATACAATGCTCCGCTCTCCTATGCAGCAGATGCAGGTCCGCTGAACCACAGCAGCCTGTGTTCCATTTCTGTTCTGTTTTTATTTTATTTTTTGTCATTAAATGTTTTGAAACTTTACACTGTCTTTCTCGTCTGAATACTGGGTCCAACTCTTTATGACACTTAGTTCATTTTTGAAAAAGTGAACTTTGAATGTGAGCTAGTTAATTTTTTTGAGTGTGAAATGAACTTAGACCTCATTCTTTTTCATTATGAACTGGCACAACATTGTCAGCAGCAAGGGTTAAGTTTTAACATGGATTGACACTGTGTCCCAAATCAATGTTAATGGGTGAGTGACCCACCTAGCACTATAACCTGTTGGTTCTTCTGCAGTGGATCTCCTATTATTTCCATGGGAATCTCTGGAGTCTTCACCATCATCTGTACCTTGCAAATACATCTTTTCAGAAGTATTAAATTACTCATAAAAACCAGGAGACATAATTTTTAGTGTAACTGTTAGCCACACTGGTCTGCTCTGCTGAATAACACAGAAGGCAGGGAGGCTCTGCCTTTATTGCCTTTCACAAACCTCTAGCCTTCCTCTACACAAAGTAGTGCCAACAGAAAATATAACAGTGGCTAGTATCTTTCTCAACACACAGTATTATTCTCTCCTGTTTACAATCAGACAGAATGTTGAAAAAAGGTTGATAAGCACAACAAGGATTTTCTTTTTTTGCCTATAGAGCCCAGACAAAACATAGTCCTGTCGTGCAGAAACACTCAAATGCCTCTGAAGTCATTTGCTTCATCAGATATTGAACGGATGATGGGCCATGAAAATAAAAAGTTATTATATAATTATTATTGTATTTTTATTTATTTATTTATTTAATAAGTAATTTCAACAATATCTTAACAGTGGTAATATTCACAATAAATTCCCTTAAAGTCAGTGTTGGCTGGCTAATAGTGCAAGGGCAACACCCCACTCACCAATTGACATTGATTAAGACATTGAGAAACAAATACATTTTTAGTTATAAAATTAAAATATTTCAAAATGTATTCATATATATTTTTTTAGATGTGCAAGACAAATATTTAATCTTAAATGACGAGTAAAGCTTACTCGTTCAGATTGGTAATGTATTTCTGCCCTGGGGAGCAAAAAGGTTTTGCCCTGGCTAAAAGTTGTCCATACGCAGTAGCTCCTCTACAATGCAAAGATACGACCATACTGGGGAGCAGCTCTCTAGAAAGTGCAGCTGGTTGACAGGTTATTAGGTTTAGCATCAAAATATTGAAAAAACAAAAAAACACCTGCCTTAAGACAGACAGCTACAGAAAATCCTTCCTGCCTAAGTTCCTATAGCCATCTAGAGCAACATGTTTAGGAAACTAAGAATTAACAACATTTAGTCCACCTTTGGGACTAATTAAGTATTTTTGAATTGAATTAAGATACAATTGAACACTGACACCCAATATGACTTTTTAATATGGAAAAGAAATTACAAAACGAGTAGGATGAGGATAAGTCAACAATCTGATGTTTCTGCTGTTCTTCATTGCTTTATTGTTTCTTCATGGGAAACGTTATGTTTAGTTACATCTAATTATGGCTGATGTGTAATAGAAACCTAATTTTCTAATATTTCATGCAGGCCCTTTAATTTATTAGCAAAAGGTTTCAGATGTCTGGGCTGCAGTTCGTTCTGTATCTTCCTTAACTTAGCATTCAGGGTCTAATTATTCAATGGACAGGGTGGGGGTTCTTTTAGTATTATCTTTTACATTTTAGAGGCGCTTAGTAGTTGTTGATTATTCTAAACATAACACAATCTCATCAGAAACATGATTTTATATCTTTAAATTGTAATCCTTAAACTGAAATGATACATTTTTCCCCCAAAAAAGAAATTCTTTGAGATGGATATTTTTTTCCAAGAAGTGTTATTCACATTTAGACAAAGACCATAAGCCACATTTTCCTTTTCTATATTAGTGTGACAAGATGAAGACACTGCACAGTTAAATAAAATAGATTTATTTTCCCTCAGCAAGGGCATTCTTTTTAATGAGGCTCCTCCAGGCAGGAGGTGCAATGAATATACAAGCATCTCACTCTGTGGCTCAGAATAAAAGGTTTATCATCCATTTTTACATCAACATATTGATGGTGACTTTTTAAAACTGCAATTTCCATTGAGATCATAAGTTCCCAGGATGGTCTGGTTGAAGAAGAAGTGGAAGTCTACTAAAATGTTAGGAGTTCTTAAAACATTTCAGTTTTGTTCATTCTGCATCAAGGATATGAAATATGGTAGCAAGAAGGCCCTTGATTCCTGACCAAGGATCGTTCTGCCTGGATTTTGCAAGTTCTCCCTGAGCATGCGTGGGTTCTCTTTGGGTACTCTGGCTTCCTTCCACAGTCCAAAAACATCACTGTTGGTTAATTGGCCTCTCTAAATGTCTTTAGGTCTGAGTCTGTGTTGTATGTTTCTGTATTGTCCTGTGACAGACTGTCAAAGGTGGAACCCATCTTCTGCCCATAGACTGCTGAAGATAGGCACCAGGCCCACCATTATCCTGATAGATGTGCAGAAGATGACTCTGTTATAAACTCTAGATTAAAAACTCTGTTCATTTTTGGGTTTTGTTATATTATTCTCAGGTACTTTGTGCTAGGATATTACTGTTGTTTCTTCTGCAGTAATATGAACAAATAGTTGGCAGATGCCTTACTCCGTCTTCTGTGAAATGCTTGACTTCAGTTTCAGACTTTGAGTTTCAGAGTTTGCTATTCTTATTCTGGTGCATTCACACCAAACCCATTTTAGTTTTTAGGGAATCTGGAGATGGCATTAAGGAGCGTCAAGAGGTCGAGCAGCATATTTTTAACCAATAAGACAAGTTAAACCAAGAGCTGTCTTTGAAGACAGATACTCCATGCAAAATGCACTTTAGGAAGATGGGATCGGCAACTGAAAAACACACTTTCAATCTTTATCATAAAAGCAAAAAAAAAAAAAATAGATTTTTATAAACCAATTAGCACTTAACTATTAATTCTACTCACCCAGGTAAGGTACCCGTTAAATAAGAAAGATCTTTAACTTGTTCCATGTTGTGAGTAGCTGTTTCGATGGCGGCTTCACTCCAGTGGCTAGGGTTTTTTTGTAGTATGTTGAGGGGTAGAAGTATGTTTGGGGTGGTTTATGTTGCTTTAGCCTGCAGTCTGACCATGCTGAAACTTACTAAGTTAAGCTTTAAGCATAATTTTACTCAAGTAAATGTAGAAATACTCATTCCTCAAATTACCTAGGAATAATAAAAGGGTTGGTTAAAATGCTGCTCAAACTGCCCTACTACATGAGGATTAACTATTTAAACTTTGTTGTGATTTTAAATTTAATGCCCATCCAGGTAGGATGTCACATTAATGCTGGGATTTTATATTCCATAAAATCCCCAGCCAGCTGGGAATTTATATTTCTGATACTTTAAGATGTTTATTGCCCTCCCCGGTAGGAGTGATAAAATATCTTGTTTAATCAGATATTATTTTGGTTGTTATATATTGTTTATGAACACACTCCCTACTAGCTGTGTGTTAGATGAAAGAGTGAATCAAACACTAATCATGGTCAAACAGTTAATTATGCACATACATTAATTCACCACAACTTCTTTTCATAATATAAGTGTAGTGGCAATCTTTCTTCATTTTCCCAAATACCACTTAGAGCTGCAGACACAGTAATTTCTTCACTCGCACGACATGACAATTTCTTAAAGTTTTGATGTCTTTACTTAGAAATAAAAGGGTTACAAAATCAGAAGACGCACGGTAAGAAAACTTTATGCTCCCATGCCATATGCAGCTCTGCCAAAACAGCACCTGCACGTTCTCAGTTACATCACTTAAAGGGGCAGTCATCAAATATTTTTTATATCAATAACTGTTTTCTTAGAACTATGAAATACACAATGACATGAACTAAGAATGAAAGAAAATATAAACTGCAACTATGAACTGTACTTATTTATTGCATATTCTATCTTTTCTGCTTTATGGCTCTTACATATCCGGCCCCTAATTGGGTATATTGTAAGATTACTCAATTATAATTAACTTAAACTAAGAGCCATCAAATCAAGACTATTAATAAACTACAAATAAACAATCTTAAAGTAAAAGAGTCCTTTTATCTTCTTTCTCTTCATATGGCTTCTTGCAATAAGCATAGCTTATGCACAGATCTCTCCAGGATGCTGTTCTTCGTTTGCAACTTGACACGACGTACAGTTCCACTGGAGTCAGGTAGGACTTGAACTATTCTTCCCATGATCCATGAGTTGCGTGGAGATGAACTGTCTACTACTAGCACCACATCTCCAGGTTCAAAATTCCTTTTCTGTCTCGTCCACTTCTGACGTTCTTGGAGGAGGGGGAGGTATTCGAGAGTCCATCTGCGCCAGAATAGATCCGCAAGATACTGTACTTGCCTCCAGCGCTTTCTTGCGTATAGATCATCCTGGTTGAAGATTCCTGGTGGCAGGTTAGGCTGTACCTTCATCAACAACAGGTGGTTAGGGGTCAGAGGATCTAAATCGTATGGATCATCTGACACGCTAGTTATGGGTCGGCCATTTATTATGCTTTCAACCTCACAAAGAAGTGTTTGAAGGCTGTCGTCGGTGAAGGTCTGTTCCTTGAGAAGGGCACTAAGAATTCTACGAACTGAACGGATCTGCCGTTCCCAAGTCCCGCCTTCATGTGAAGCTGCGGGACTATTAAAGATCCACTTGATGCCTTTCTTTTGCATTGTCTTCTCAATCTCTGATTGGTTCAGGTTTTTCAGTGCCTCTCTCAATTCCTTCTCGGCACCAACAAAATTGGTGCCATTGTCGGATCGGATTATGGAGACCTGTCCTCTTCTACTCACAAAGCGACGAAGGACATTGATACAGGCACTTGTGTCCAGACTATCAGCCACCTCAATGTGCACTGCCCTGATGGTGAGGCAGGTGAACATCACACCATATCTTTTGACCGTTCCCCGGCCCCGTTTCACTTCAAATGGGCCGAAGTAATCAATTCCAACATTAGTGAATGGTGGTTTGTCTGGTACAAGACGATCTTCGGGCAGAGGTGCCATTTTCTGTTCACCAACTCGTCCTTGTAGTCTTCTGCAGACCGTGCATTTGGATATGAGCTTTCTGATGGTGGAGACTGCTTGTGGGATCCAAAACTTCTCTCTTAACTGCGATAACATATAGTTACGCCCACAGTGACCGATCCTCTCATGGATGTCACTCAGGATGAGAAATGCAACTCTTGAATGTTTGGACAGTATCACAGGATATTTTGTGTCCACTGGCATGGCAGATTTAGCTAGCCGTCCTCCTACCCTAAGAATGCCATCTTTCAGCATGGGATCAAGTTTATGCAGCTGGCTGCTCTTCTTTACAGACTTACTATTGCAGAGCGCATTAATCTCCTCAGGAAAGCATTGGGCTTGGCTGTACCGGATGATTTCTGCTTCTGCCGTTGTCAGCTGTTCCAAGGTAAGTGCTTTCTTTTCCATGGTACTCCTGTACCTTTCCATGCTTTTTTGCACAAGCAACTTCTGCTTCACTGGATCCTTTTCTGTTTGACTAATTTCACTTTGAAACTCTTTTCTTTTGTTTTTCAGATTGAACAAAAGTTCTCTAACTTTCAGAATCCATGCAGTCGCCCTTTTCAGTCGGTTCCAACTGTCATAGTACTCGATTAACTTGTTCATGCAATCAAGCTTTTCTTCCATTGTGATGGTGTTTACTGTGACACTTTTCACCTCTGGGTCATTCTGCATGCTCTGATTCAGATTGTCAGGTCTTTGTGGCCATTCACTTTCTGGCCGTGAAAGGAATTCTGGGCCATTTATCCAGTCTTTATCTTCCATGAACTTTTTTGCTTTCATACCTCTGGTTGCTTTATCAGCTGGGTTCTGCGACGTTCTGACGTACCTCCACTGAGATGGTTTAGTGGCCTCTCGTATAAGTGTGATTCTATTTGCCACAAAAGTCTTGTAACGGGCTGTGTCACTATCGATGTACTTCAGAACCGTTGTGCTGTCAGTCCAAAAGATTGACTGCTGGAGTGGGATCTGCATTTCAGCTTGCAGCATCCTATCCACCTTGACTGCAACCACCGCTGCAGTCAACTCCAGCCTTGGCACAGTGATCTGCTTGAGTGGGGACACTCGAGACTTCCCCATCATCAAGGAACAATGGATTCTGCCTAGGTCATTCATCAGAACAAGGTAAGATGCTGTGCCATAGGCGACCTCACTCGCATCTGAAAAATGGTGTAACCTGGCAACTACTCTGGTTCCAAAGGCCTGAGGTTTGACACATCTTCTGACATTGAAGCCTGAGAGGAGACTGTGATCTTCCAACCACTTACTCCACTGTTCTTTTTGTGAGTCACTTATCTCTTCATCCCATCCTAGCTTTTCTTTACACAGGTCTCTCAGGAGAAGCTTAGCGGGGAGTATCAGTGGTGCCAGGAAGCCAAGAGGGTCATAGGTGGAATTTACGACAGAAAGAACACCTCTTCTTGTCTTGGGCTTGTCTTGTGGCTTGATGCTGTACGTGAACACATCATCCTCTGTACACCATTGTACACCGAGAGCTCGTTCGGTGGGCAAAGCATCCTGTGTGAGGTCGAGGTCTCTTAATTCAGTGGTTCGAAGTTCTTCAGGAATGGAAGACAAGACTCTCCTGCTGTTGCTAACCCACTTGGTGAGGGTAAAACCTCCTTCAGCACACAGGTCTCGAAGATTCTTCACCAAGAAGACTGCTTCCTCCTCGGTCGCCACCGATTTAAGACAGTCGTCTACATAGAAATTATGTAGAACTGTTTCCACAGCTTCTGGGGGTGCGGTATCTCTTCGATCTTCTGCGGTTCTTCGTAGCACATAGGATGCAACGCTAGGGGAAGATGTCGCTCCAAACAGATGGACCATCATCCTGTACTCCTTTACAGGTGTGCTAAGATCACCAGCCGGCCACCACAGAAATCGCAATAGGTCAGCGTCTGTCTCTGGGACTCTCACCTGATAAAACATGGACTCTATGTCCGCCATCACAGCTATTGGTTCTTCTCGAAACCTCACTAAGGCACCAATGAGCGTGTTGGTTAAGTCAGGTCCCTGCATCAACTGACCATTGAGTGAGACATCCTGGAAGCTGGCATTGCAATCAAAAACAACTCGTATTTTCTTTTTCTTCGGGTGGTACACCCCGTGGTGTGGAACATACCACACCCTGTTGTCATCACGGGCAAGCTGGTCTTGAGGAACTTCCATGGCATAGCCTTTTCCCAGAATACTTTCCATAAAGCCTTTGTAGTCCTCAAGAAACTCTTGGTTCCTTGTTAATTTTCTTCTAAGGCCAGCAGCTCGCTGTTCGGCCACACATCGGTTGTTGGGCATTTTCACAGCCTTGTCTCTCAGTGGGAGCCCCACACTGTAATGTCCGTCTTTGAACTTGGTTGTGCTTTGCACTGATTTCATGAACAACTTATCCTCTTGTGACATTTCCTCTTTATCATCATATACACGTTCTGGAAAATCTGTGTTGTATTGCTGTATAAGTAGCTGTTCCACTTCCTCAACTGCAATTCGGTTAACACTGTAAGGAGTTGTCTTGACTCTGACATGCGGGTTTTCATTCGTCACTGGACCATACACCATCCAGCCGAGAACCGTCTTTACAGCATAGGGTCCTTCCTCTTGGCTGTTAATTACATGCCAGGGCTCCATTACTTTAGAGTTATTGGCGCCAATGAGAAGGTCTACACTTGCATCAATACATGGTAAATGTACCTCATTCAGGTAGGACCACTTCTGTAGATGTTGCTGACTGGGAATGTTTTCTCTCTGAACAGGAATGTCGTTGTGTGTGAAAACTTTAGGTAGCCAAAAGTACTCCTCTCCATTAAGACTACACACTTCAAGGTCCATAAGTAGGTAGCTGTTGACCAACTTTCGTTTCTCTGCTTCGTTCTGACACATTGTGCTCAAGGAGATCTGAGTTAGCTTTCCCTTCTCATTCAGCTTCTTTCTAAGGTCCTCCGTACAGAACGTGGCTGTACTCCCAGGATCCATAAACGCGTAGGTCTCTATGGATCTTCCACTGCTTCGGGACCTCACCTTCACAGGAACTATAGGTAGTAGACACTCTGTTTCTCCGGCCCCAGTGTAGCCACACACTTCTTTCTTGTCGGGACCTAGAGTCACAGACACCTCTTCCTTCGACCTATTACCCTGTTCGGGTACAGAAGTTGCCTTCTTAGGTTCTTCATTCTGATGAAGAATTTCTGGGTGTTTTCGTGAGCACTGATTGCATACTGTCTTCTTCTTACAGTTCTGGCTAATATGACCTTGTCTCAAACACCCGAAACACAGTCCCTTTGACTTTAAAAAGTCAAGACGTTCCTGGTTCATTTTCTCTTTGATCTTGTTACAAGCTTCCAAGGTGTGATTTCCTTGACAAAATAAACATGGAGTTTCAAAAGAAGTTCCTATCTTCGATAAGCTTCCTTGCTTTGGTGTTGAAGCTGTATTTTTCTTTTCCACCGCCACGTTGGTTGCGAAGCTTGATCCTTTTGCTCCACTCTTGGCCACTGTTCCAGTTTCCTTGCTTTTTCCTATTGGTTGTGGGTTTTTGCCTTGAAGGTCACCAAAGAGTGGATCCGTGGCCACCTTAGACTGTCGGTCAATGAAGGCGACGAGATCAGCAAATCTTGCTCTAAGCCCTCTTTTCTCCTTGATTTTAAATGCTTCATTGCGCCAACTTTCTCGCATCTTATAAGGCAGTTTGGAAACCACCATCCTCATATTTGTGGGATTATCCATTTCCTCCATCGATTCGACATCCTGCATTGTGTTGCAACAACCAGTTAGGAATAAAGCATAGGTCTTAAGTGCCTTTCCATCTTCAGCCTTGATTTGCGGCCACTTTAAAGCTTTATCCATATAAGCACTTCCAATCACCAATTCATCTCCGTATTGTTTCTTTAAGAGTTCTTTTGCTTCTTTGAACCCCTTGTGTGATGGTCTGTGTTCACAGCTTCGGACAAGCTCCTGTGGCTCTCCTGAAGTAAACTGTTGTAAGTAATACAGCTTGTCTTGTTCACTGTCCGTCTTCTGTTCAATAGCTTGTTCGAAAGCTCTAATGAAAGATCTATAGGTAAGTGGATCACCCTTAAACACTGCTATTTCTTTGTCTGGAAGCTTAGCATATTGCTGTTGCTTAACAAGCATCTCTGTTATAGCGTTTTGGTTTTCCATTACTTTCAAAAGGCCACTCATGCTTCCATCATGATGTTGCACTGCAGTGTTTACTGTAGCCACCTGATGTCTAGCACCTTGCAATGGCCTGAGTGATGCCTGGCCTCTGTAAGAAGGCCTGCTCTGGGTGAAAGGGAAGGGGTTTTCCTCTTCCTTCACTCTTGCACCACCTGTTGGACGAGAGCGCATATAGCTGCTCATGCCATCCTCTGATTTCTCATACTGTTTTAATATTCTGACTTTTGTTCTTTTTTCCACAATAGCTGCCTCTAGATCCAACTTTTCTTTAGCTCCTTTGATATGTATTTCTTCCATTTCTAACTCTTGCTTCTTCTCTAGAATAGCAGCACGCTCCACTAGACCAGAGAGCTCGGCCTCTTCAATAGCACAAGCTGATGCACGAGAAGACACAACAGTTGAGCGTCCAGCATTCGGACCCTTGATCACTGACCTATTGGACTCATGGCTTATTTGTGACACACTATCATCAGGGTTTATATCCTCCTCAGCTTGTGTTTCTTGATTTGCCTTTTGGAAGCTCAATGTCTCCAGCTCCATCCATTTTTCAGTTTCTTCAATAAACTGTCTGATAACTATCATTTTAGGCTCAAACCAGTTGTTAATATCTGCCTCTTTCTCATCTTCAGGTAAAAGTTTACCTAATTGTTCAGTGATGTCAATAAAATCTTGGAGAACTGGAATAAATTCTTCTTGTATTATCGCTTTCACTGTTGGCAAATTATCAGCTAAAGTGATTAAACTGGTAACTTCCCTCCTTAGAGTTGTAAATCGAGCTAGAAATCCTCTCCTGGTGCACAGCAACCTGTGCAGTTTCTCTTCAACAGCCTTCTCAGTTAACTTGACTGGCCGTTTAATGGCTGTTTCTTCAGTGCCAACTGTTTCAACATTACCTTCCTCCATACTTCTTTTCTCAATAAAGCCGAGTGCAAACTGTGTGCATATGAATAAAAAGTATTCCACTAACACTCTTCTTCATCCAAAGTATGCTTCACAGCATTCAAAACACACAGAGCTCCGTAAAAGTTCGGTTTCAGGCTTCAGTTAACAAGTTAGCATGAATCTGCAAGTCACTGAGTAGCTAAATAGCATTAGCTTCAGGGCTCAAACTGCAAGTCATTCAGTAGCTAGCTAGCGTTAGCTTCTTGGCTTCACTTGGCTTTATACTAGCACAGCTTGTAGATTCCTTCCATTTAGCAAAACGAGTCTTTAATGGCAATTTGTCCATTCATATTTCCAGAGACTGTCCTTTTTCATATGTAAATTAAGAAGGCTTACCACCTCGTTTGCTTTGAATTAATCCTCTCCAGATTGATGCTCCAATCTGACAGACCGTTCAGAGGTGTTAACTGCTGGTTGTCTCTTTGTTAGCATCCAAAAAGTTCGGTTTTCAGCTCCTCCTGATCCATCCATGAGCAGTTTTCTTACTAATGTAGTGGCAATCTTTCTTCATTTTCCCAAATACCACTTAGAGCTGCAGACACAGTAATTTCTTCACTCGCACGACATGACAATTTCTTAAAGTTTTGATGTCTTTACTTAGAAATAAAAGGGTTACAAAATCAGAAGACGCACGGTAAGAAAACTTTATGCTCCCATGCCATATGCAGCTCTGCCAAAACAGCACCTGCACGTTCTCAGTTACATCACTTAAAGGGGCAGTCATCAAATATTTTTTATATCAATAACTGTTTTCTTAGAACTATGAAATACACAATGACATGAACTAAGAATGAAAGAAAATATAAACTGCAACTATGAACTGTACTTATTTATTGCATATTCTATCTTTTCTGCTTTATGGCTCTTACAATAAGAGTTTATTAACAAAAATAATTCAGCTCCAAATCAAACATATTTCAGTTTAACACTCTTAACTAAGACTAGTGAAGCTCAACAAAACTAACTAAACTACTATGTACAAAGAGGAAGGGGAACATGGTTGGTATTACAGTTTAAGATGGATGTTGTGTTTATCTCAAGTTTAGCTTTTCACTAATTTAGAGAAATTGGAATGTTTTCAGACCAATTTACAATTACAATCAATGAGGTGAATAAGACATTATGGCCAAATAATGTTTTATTAAAGGTTTTTCTGATTAATAACATTTAGTCAAATAATTCTTTTCCCCTTTTTGAAATAGCTAGCAGCGCATTGGCGTCAGGATTCCACTATATGACTCTTGTTCATACTTGGTAATCAAAATCTAATGAGCATATGAGGAACACTTGAACACTAATGTCCCTTTCAAAAAGTGTTTAGACCCTTTTTGAAATAAAGCTTGTCCAAGCTTCAACAACAGCTCAACACATGTTCCACAGTCAATCCTGTTAGCCTTGTTCTTACTCATCATCAAAAGACATATTGTTTGTTCTGTCATTATTCATGCCAGAATTGCAAACTTTTTTGTCCATTTCCATTTGCAAGGTTGAGTTTCCAACCAGCTGGAGTTCAGCAGGCCGGCCACAGCAAAGTAACCTCTCTCTCTGTCCCAGTGGCTCACAGCAACCCAGTCTCATGGGAAAATGTACCCCCACTACGTTGGTCCACACTGCAAAACGTAGTGGAGGTACATTAATGGCCATTTTTTTGTGGTACTGTTACGTTTCTTCTACCTATACGCTTTCTATTGTTTTACGTCCTAGTCACGTGACTTTCAAGATTCCAGCTGGGAGAAGAAAAAAAATAAATATATGGCCGACATTCGCTCATTTTTTATGTGGAAAGATTAATAACTTGAGTTTGTTTTTGCATTAAAATGAGTTTTGATTACATTTCTAGTGAGAAATGTATAGTTTGTTGCCAGAATATTTACTCAGGGAATGTACATATTCACTTGCTTGTTCGTTTCTTGCAAAGATTTTTCAAGATAATGTGAAACTGTAACATTTTGGTATAAGCATGGCTGAGATTAATCTAACTTTTAGTGGGAGAATCAATAATTTCAATCAGTTTCTGCATTTAAATGGGTTTTGATCACATTTATAGCGAGAAGTGTAGGGTTTATTTACATAATATTTACTTAGTGAACATACATAATCACCCGCTTGCTAGTTTTTGCTACGTTTTTCGGATCTCGTCAGGATTATGTGAAATTGCAACGTTTTGGCTGCTACCTATCGCCTAGCATTTAGCTGCCGCCCCGATTCAACATTGAATTCTTTGTGATTTAACTCCATCTGACGGATCAAACCCTCGCCACTGCGTGCGTTGCGTCTGAGGTGGATTTTCAGATCAATGCATTACGTCGTGGCATACGGGAGAAACTAATTAAACTAGTTAAAAAAAGAATCATGGGTTAAGATCGGATGTGTTTTATTTGGAAATCTACCGGATCCTTTGTGCATTTCACTTCCTGTTTGGTGCGATCTCATTGATGGGTTTTAACCAGATTTTGACCAAAGAGGAACTAAAAAAAAAACAAAAAACAATTTAAATACACAACCAGCATATCTGGAATCAGTGACAGAGAGCGACTGGGACCAAAAGTTTATTAATTTCTCCCCACTGATTTCCATTCAAAATGTTTTCGATCCCACCGGTCTCTAGGGAAGGGGCGTGCATACCGCCACCTACTGTTCATGAGTGTGTAGCAACATTGTTTTACATCTATTAAATTCTATTTTTTAATTTTGTATTCTGAAGATAAATAAATAATGCTTTCCTTAATCTATAAATATCTTTTATATTTCCATTATTTCCCAATAATCCTATAAGACTCCATTCTTGGCCTGTCCTCTTTTCAATTTCTTCCTTTCAGGTTCATATGTTTTGCAGTTCATCAATACATGTTCTACATTTTCTATCTCTCCACATCCTTCACATGTA